ACTGCCCCATGCTTGCTTTTAGCCATCTCCATTGTTGATGGTAGGAGGAGACCGGACAGCAGGCTGGCTCTTCATCAGGTGGAGGGCACCCACAGACTTTTCTTGGCTTCTTCTGGCCAGGTTTTGGGACTTCCCCATCGTCCCCGTGGGCACAGGCCCTGCTGTGGCCTCTCTCCTCTCTGCGATAAAGCAGGGGGGCTCGAGATTGCTGTCAGCCACAGCCCAGGGGCTAGGCACTGCTCCATGCTGCCTTGGGTAGTACCAGAGAGCCCAGGCTGGGGACTTGGGGCACACTGAAGTCCGCCCCATAGCTGCCCCAGGGTGGGTGAGATGGTTGCAGCTCTCTGGAGGCAGGAGGAGCTCTTAGGAGGCCCCGTGGAGATGCTGAAGCTGCGTTTCGCTGGGATCAGAGCCCCACTGTGTTGCGTTGAGCTGAGGGAAGGCAGAGATGGGGATGCTGGTGTGTGGGGAATGGGCGGCAGCCGAAAGCAGCCCAGCCCTCTGCTCCAGAGGAGAGAGCAACCCGCTTTAGGACAGCCGGATCCCCTGATCTGCTGGTCAAGGCAATGCTCCACGTGTGGTCCCATAGTTACTACCTCTAGTAACTGCTGCTGCCGCAGCACTAGCAGCCATGCGGGGGCCGTTCCCGTGCCAGATGCTCTGGAAGCACGGCGCGTTCCCCATGCAAGTGCTGCATGAGTCTTAATGAGCCTTCCTGGGGAGGGAGTGGAGGAGGCTCGCAGCAGGACGGAGAGGCGCAGGAAGGCAATTAAAGGCAGCCCCCCCATTGCTAGGGCAGCTCGGGTAATGGGGGCTTCGGAAGTGTCACCTCCGGGGGACAAAGCGTGGCCTGGCTTGACCTGGTTTGAAGGGACTGGGAGGTTGACATGCCGCAGGGAGCCGTGTCCCGTGAGCCCAAAGCTGAGGCTGCAGGTGTCGGGGAGCACAGGAGCTCCCCAAAGCCCACCCCGAGGTGGGGGTCCCAGGGCTGCCCCTGTTCCCGGGGAGGCAGAGCCTGCACAGTGGGTGGTGCCCTCCAGAAAGCCAGGCAAGGGCTGGAGAGGTTCAGGAATTGCAGCATTTTTCTTTTCAAACCCGATAATTAATAGCCATCAGGCCTGAAGGTTTCCCGTTGCCATGTTTGACCTGGTCTTTGCTGCAGGACAAAGCCCTTTGCAGGGGCGGAGGAGTGGGTTGAGTCCGGCTAAGCCCTTGGCCCGCAGAAAGCCTTGCAGCAGCGAGTCCTGCGGATTAGGAAGGGAAATGGCAGGCCCTTTCTTCCCCTTGAAGCCTGTTAATTGCCCCTTGGCGGAGAGATAGAGGAGACCATGCGGGGGGTATCTATCGCATCCGCCTGTCTCCCCTGCCATCTCCTCTCGTGCCAGCCCCTGCTGAACTGCCATAGCCCGACGGTGTCCCTGCCTCTTGGGTTTCCTCCATTTCCTTCCTTCTTCCCCCCCCCCGCCCCTCCCAATCTCAGGTATTCGGACACAACGCAGCATCCCAGCTGAGTGCACCTACCCCTTCTTTGCACCGTTGTTAAAATTTTCCTTCTTTAACCCCCCCTCCACCAAGGGTGACTGTTGTTCTGTGTCTCTTCTGCACGTGACGTGTTGTTTTCCAACTGGCTGCCCTTAGAGAGATGCAGGGCTTCTCCTGAGTGCTCCTGGTTAATTTAGAAGCAAGCAATATGTGTAAGTCATTGCAATTACTCCTTCCAGCCAGCAAAGCCATTGATTTGTTTTCTCCTCCACCTTTTAAGCCCTGTTGCAGGTTTGCAGCTGTTGAAAGGCTCAGCTTACCAAAAATAAATGGTCCTGTCTTGCTTTCCTCCTCCCTAGATGGGTGAGAAGCAGCCGCTGCTTCCTGCAGAGAGCCAGGGCAGGATGGAAATCAAATATTTATTCCTACTCTTGATTTTCTGTCTCCCAACGAGTTTCTAATCTCTCCGTAATGCCTTCGGTTCCTGAAGAGCCTTATACAGAGATGTTTGCTGTAAGCTTTTAAAATGCCTGGATAAATTATATCAAGTTTTCCCGCATCCCCCCCCTGGTCTGTCCAACTGGCTGTGAACCTCTGCAGGGAGAGGAGGTTGCCCCGCAGAAGCTGTGCTGCCAGGGTCCCCCCTTTCTCCCATCCCAGGAGTGACAGATCCACATGTCCCGGGGACACGGCTGGAGTCTGGATCGCACCGGCATCGTCTGGCGAGGAGGCGGAGGGCAGCACCGATGTCCCTGCCCAAGCGTGTCCCGGTGTCCCCTTTGTTTCTGCTTTTCTGAGCGGGGGTTACACAGATTTCGGTGTGGGATGGGTTTCCGGGCTCCGGAGGAGACGGGTTTTGTGCCAATAGCCTAGAGCAGTGGCCAGGCTGTTTCCATCCTTGTTCATCCTCCCGCATGTCTTCTGCCTTGGCTAGCAGCCCCGAAAGCCCCCCTCGCAGGGCTCCTGCAGTTTTAATAGAAGGGTCTTCTGGACCAGTTAGCCCCTCCCCCCCCCCATTTCACTTCCTAAGTCTGTGACCCCCAGCAATGGTTTTGGACATTTCCTCCTCTAAAAAGTGCTGTCCTTCCTAATTATGCTGCTGTTATTTGGGCGCAGGAGCAGAGGTCACCTGTTGAGCCCCCTCCTGTTAGTGATGTGGGGGTGAGCCTCCAGCTCAGCAAAGCCCTTAAGTGTATGCTCCAGCTGATGTACTCAAAGTTATTTTTTTCTTCAAAAAACTCTGAACTTTGAGGAGATGTGCCGAAAGACTGAAGGTGAGAGCCCCAGGCTTTGTTTTATAGTATTAAACACCCTCCAGAAGGAGAAGAGGGAGCTGGGGGGGACGGTCCTGGCTCAGCACACCAGCGATGGCAGGGCCCTGGGGAAAACCGGGTCCTCTGGCTTTATGCTCTGTTTTCCCCAAATATTGGTGAGGGTGTGACTTTCCTAGGAGGGACAGCACCCACTGAGGGGCAAAAGCATCGTGCAGACCTGGCCGGGGGTTGCTTGAGAACAGGCGGTTCCAAGAGCCATGTCGAGGGTGAATTGGCTTGTGCCTAGCTAGGTCAGGAGCTCATTACTAGTACTTAATTAGATTTATACCTGAGGTGAGCTCCTTGCCATCATGGTCTGACCTGGAGGCCGTGATTTCCCGCTGGTTTCTGCTTCCCCATTGTCATCAGCACGGGGGGTTCCTCCTCCATGGAGAGGTGCTTCCCCCAACCCCTTAGCAGCCACCTGTACCCCATGGAGCTTCATGATGGGGTAGATGGGGGATGCCCAAACCGTGGCACCACCCCCCAGCCCCGGGCGCAACGATACCCAGACCCTTGTGGTGGTATTTCTGTAATCGCAGCTGTGGGCCCGGCCGTCTCCCTCCAGGGATGCCACCCTGAGCATCCCAGGGAAGGACACCTCGGTTTGGGCCAGCCGGTCCCCTCAGCGACCTTGCACGCCCCGCAGGAGGCTCGAACAGAAAACGTCACGTTTATTGTTCACGATCAGCTTTACAAAAGAAACGTCCCAACATGTGCGCGCGTCAGGGGCCCCTTTCACGAACGTGCATTAGAGAAAGCGCGTGAGCGAGCGAGGAAGCGGGGGGGGGGGGCGGCTCGGTGGGGTGCACGAAGGTCATGGTGTTTCCCACTTGGCACGAGGGCTGCGCCCTGTCCCCGCCATGTCCCCCCCGGGTGGGCTGAGCTGCCCCACCACTGGTGGGGACCCTGAGGGGGGGTGATACTGGGTGGTGGGGCTGTCCCCCCTGCCCACTTCACACACACACACACACACCCCCGGGGGCAGGGGCAGCCGTCGCCAAAATCGCAAAGTGGGACTTGGGGTAGGGGGGGAGTGCTGGAAGCTGGACACTGCATTGAGCAACCATGAGACCCCCAAAATACACACCCCCCCTCCCGCAACACACACACACACACACACACACGTACGTATTGAGATGTTGGTGACCACGCAGCGTGGAAACAGCGTATTCTCAGGCACTCCACGGGGAAAATACCAGCCTACCCCATCGCCCTCCCAGTTCCAAGGCCAGTGGTGGCCCCGTCCCTGGCCAGGAGCAGCTCAAAGCAGGGGACCCAGGTGGAGGCAAGGGCAGCAACCCAATCCAGCGCCCAAAAGGCCAGGGGACAGATGGCAGGACTCCTCCAGCCACCATCATCCTCTGTCTCTTTTGTTTTCTTTCTTTTTCTTGGTTTTGCTCCCTTCGATGGCAGTGCTGTACTCCTTCCCCCTCGGCCAGGGCTGGAGGAGATGCTTTGCCCCTTCCTCCCCTGTTTCTTCGGTGGCCGACCGACCTCCCCCCAGTTTGGGTGGGGGGCCTGCTCTGCTTCCCTCTGCCTCAAAAGCCTGACTCCCCTCTGGCAGCCGGGCTCGAACAGGCAGGGGAAGGGGGACATGCTGCCCTGCCGACCCTCCGCCATCCTCCTTCAGCCCTCCCGGGGCTTCTCCTGCAGGGAGGCAGGAGAAGAGGGGATGGAGCCAGAGGGGAAGATGCTCCCGGCTGAGCCTTTGAGTTCATTTGGAGTACGGGCTCACAAAACCAGATAGCGGAGCACTAGAAATAACTAAGGAAAGAGGAAATAACTAAGGTAAGGGGATGTGCTCAGGGGATGCCCACACGCTGGCATCCCACCGAGGCTGGACCACGCTTGGGGCAGAGGGAGGGCTCCTTCCCACTCCCTGTTGGGGCTGGTAAGGCAGGGACCCTCGCCATACCAGAGATGCCTGCGGGTATGGCAAGGTCCTCCCAAAACAGAAGCGGGGCAAGGCGAGACCCAGGGGCAGCCGTGCCGGGAGAGGGGGGACAAGCCGTGCCACTGGCACAGGAGCAAGAGGGAGGCTGCCGGGGCCCCCCCCATCCCTCCCAGGACGCCGGTGTGGGGGGCTTGAGCATCGCCCTGGTGTGATGGCGAGGCTCGGCGGTCTGGGAGGGGAGAAGGGGGCTTCCCTGTTTCGGGGCTGCCACCAGGCTCCTTGGCACTGGGCAGGGGGTGAGGGGATGCTCATGCCTTCCTCCCTTCCTCGCAGGCGGCAAAGCCCCCCTTGCTGGCACCCCCGAAGACCTCCACCGCCTGGTCGTCCCACTGGATCACGTTGCCTTGGAGGTGGGAGGTGCAGTTGGCCAAGCCCAGGATCTCCGCTGGCGCCAGCATGTGGTCCCACACGCCGAACTGCGCCAGCTCCCCCACAAAGGCCTGCGTGGCATCAAAGCGGCCGCCCAGCGTGTCCTGGGAAAGAGCGGGAGAGGGGATGGGACAGGAGAAGGAACACGCATCCAGTGGGCAAACAGGACAAGAGGGAGAAGGAGAAGTTTGGGGAGAAGCAGAGCGAGATGCCCAAAGGCAAGGATGGGAGGGGATGGATGCGTGGTGGAAGACAAGGCGGGGAGCAAATGGAGGACAGAGGGGTAGGGAGAGGGAAGAGGAGAAGAAAATGAACGCGCGTGGCCGCACGGATGTCAGATGAGCAGGCAGGAGATCCCCTCGCCCAAGCTGCCAACACGCCACGCTGAGCGCTCCTGCCCACACCACCCTCGCCCCATTTCGGCTTCGCGCCGGAGCGATGCGAACTGGCGGTTTTTGGTGCCAGGCTGGCACGTACCTGCTCCTGGCCCAGGATGATGACGCCCTGGGGCTTGATGGCATGCCAGGAGGCCAGGTTCTCGCCGGCGGCCCGCTGCTCGCCGTCCTGGTACGCTGACCACTTGCCGTCCCGGGTGGTCCACGCCACGCAGACGTGGTGCCAGGCCTTGTCCTTCAGGCTCAGCGGCAGCTGGGCAACCTTCGTGAGAGGAGCAAGAGCCCGGTGCTCGGTGGGAGTGCTGGGAGACCCCGGTGTCCCCCCAGCCCCTCGCAGGGCAAGCGCTGCACCCCCACGGTGGCGGCACCCCAAATTCTAGACATCCTGATGCGCTGCTTCTCCCTCTCAACCCCCTCCCCAGTGAGCCATCCTCCCCATCCTTCTCATCCTCCTGCATTCCCCCTCCACCCCAGGCCCCTTCCTCCCAGGTCCCCCACACTGGTACCCCCAGGAGCATCATTTCCCCAGGGGGGTTGAAGCAGGGGAGATGAGGGCAGGGGCTTCCCTCCCATCCCCCCTGCCGCTGGGCTGACCTTGTCATTGATGAGCAGCTCCAGGGGGTTGGTGCCCCACTCCAGCAGCACGATCTCATTCGCTTGGCTTGGGACAGAGTAGGAGAAAGGGGTGCCGAGCCCCGCCAGGGCCTTAGACTTCAGCCACATGCAGATGGTGAAGGCGTAGAGCTCCGGCAGGCTCTTCTTCATGCGGGCGTACATGTAGTTGTTCTGCACCGGGATGGTCACCTTGAAGGCATCAGGAGGGCTGTAGCCTGGCGGTCCTGCGTGCCGAGGTTGGGGAGGAGAGCAGAGGGTCAGCACCCATCATTGGGATGAGGGTAGCTTGTCCCGGTACCCCCCCTGTGTCACCTCCATCCCCGTCGGGCAGGACTTACCATGCTCCAGCTCCTTCACCCGGTTCTGGAGGGAGTTCAGCTCCTTCTCGATGTCGTGCTGCTGCTGGCTGCGGTCGGTGCTGGCAGCCTGGCGCTCCTTCTGCAGGGTCAGGATCTTGGAGAGGAGCTGCTCCTCCAGCTGCTCCATCTTGGTGTGGAGGGCATCGCGGGCGAGCGCTGGGGCGGTGGGCGACGAGCCATTGGTGCGGGCTGGCAGCTCCTGCTGCACTCAGCGGCAGCCGCAACAGGGGAAGAAAGGAGGGAGAAAAGAGAAAATTCAGCGTGGTGTCACCATTAGAGGTTAAATAAGGACATGCCCAGCCCGCACCGCCACAGGGAGCGCTGGGACCACAACCCCGCATCTGCAGCAGGGTCTACCCCAAGAGGCTCCAGCTGACTTTGTACCTCCCCTCTCAGATCCCCCATTGAGTTCGTTACTGTGAAACGAAGCTTGGCTGCTCCTAATGACTTTCTGCTGCTTCAGAGACAGAGCAAGGATTAGATGCATGGGCCCTCAGGCCATCCCTTGGCTCTGCTCCCACAGGCAGCCTCCCACGAGGAGGGGACAACACGGGAAGGAGCTTGGAGTTCCCCTTCCCCACCACACGTGAGGCTGCTTTGCCACGGCCAGCACGTTAACGGGGCTGTAATCCTCTTAGCCCAGCTCAGACGGCATGCGGGGGTGCGTGCACTCATGCCAGGTCAGGCAGGTAGCTCTCCATAAGCATTAGCCAGCCTCTCCTGGGCCATCGGGATGCCACAGAGAAGTGGGGCCAGCGGTAGGTCCTCCGGTCCTCAAGACGTGACGCATCACTTGAAGATATTGAGCACGTCTTGTCCCATCAGGGTTAAAACCCACACCAAAATTCTTCCCTTGGCTGATCCAAAACCGGGCACCTGGCAAGGATGCTCCCAGCCACTACTGCACCCTGCAAAGACCCCAGATCCCACCTTGCTGGGAGACCCCATCCTGGCTGGAAGAAAACCAGGCTGGAAGGGAGAAGGTGGCCCTTTGCCATGTTCCTGGGGTTTCTCCATAAATAGCAGCCCTCTCCCTTCTCCACATCCTTGGGACATTACGCTCTCTGCCATGGGCTTGGAAAGATGGTGACCACCTTTTCCACACCGCCAGACCTTCCTGAAGGTGCCAGAGCAGCCGTGATGGCCTCTGCCAGAAAAAGGTGGGACACGGAGTGATGCCATCCCTACTGATCTGGACAGGCCCCCCCCAGCCTTGGAGCTGGCCTGGAGGAGGTCACCACACTCATCTATGGTTGTGGCTTCCAGCTTTTTCTTCTTCCCTATATCCCGCTTTTGCAGGATGGACAGGACCTAATGATCACATGCACAAAGATGAAGTGGGGGGATGCCCACTGCTGTCACCCCCAGATCTTTGCTATCCATCATGAACAACAGAGGGAAGGGGAAGGCTGGAGGACAGCTGGGTTTGGCCGGGCAGGATGCAACCTTGGTGGATGGGAACAGCAGGGAGAAGGTAGCAGGGAGAGGGAGAGCAGGAAAATGGTGTTGGTGTGAGCACAAACGGCCCCACACCAGGCAGCAACATACTCAGGCTGCAAATAAGAGGGAGGGTGCAATGCCCCGGTGTCTGGAAGAGCCTCCAGCGGGGTCTGCTGGGGCAAACCCACAGGTTTTGCAAGAAAAAACAATGCAGAGAACCAAAATCAAGCAAGAAAAGAAAGGTTGTACAGGGGACATCTGCCAGCCTTGACCAAACGCCAGCTCTCACTGCCAGCTTGCTCCGGCAGTGCCGGGATGCTCTCGCGGAGAGCAAAACCTCTCTGGGAAGGGAAAAGCGGCCAGCAAAGGGCATCCTACCTTTGGTCTCCATAAAACAGGGAGGGATTTAGCCGATGGGGAAGGGGCTTTAGCCATTTTTTTGGGGGGGGAGGAGGGTTGGACTTGGGGACCCACTGGTGCAGCTGGCTGAAAGGCAGGGGAGGGATGGCGGGAGGGAAGGAAAGGTTAATTCTCATCCTCCTGGCAGGGATAATTCCCACCCAGGGCTGCCCACGCTCGTATCCAAGCGGAGCCGGCTGTGTTGGTGGGGGCAGCACAGGTGGGATGGGGGTCGCCTTCGCCTCTTCGTCCGCATCCCGCGGGCTCCAAGAGCTTTTCTCATCCCTTCAGGCCGCCTGGCTGTGGCGGAGGCTGGCACGCTCCTGTCTGCCGCACGCTTTTGATTGCTCGAGCTGCGGGTTTGGAGCCTACGTCCCTGCTTTCATGCACGGCTCCATCTGTTAATGACGAAAAAAGAAAAGGCTGGGAGCTTTTGTCGCTCTCGCTAGCCCCCGATAGCCTGCCCTACATTATTCAGTAGTGACTGAGCGCTTTTTTTTTTTCCTCCCCCTTCCTCCTGCTTTTCTCCTTGCTGCTATTTTCTTCCCTCTGTAACTTTTCTCCCTATAGGTTTTTCATTTCTCTGGCTTCGGACCGTCTCCTCCTGATGATCCCCTCCACGCACGCACACGCTGTCTCTTCCCTTTTCCTCAATTCCTTCCGCTTTCCTGCATTTTTCCCCCCTCCATCTCTCTCTCCAGCTCTCCCCGGCCCCTCCAGCCCAGCAGCCGGGGCACCAGCAGCCGGACCCACACAGCCAGCTGAACCACCGCCGAACCCGTCTTCCTCCTGGCAAGGGATGCAGCCAGTACCCTCACCCGACAGAGTTTGGGGGCCACCCCATCATCCCAGGAGCATCCCAGCAGACACCATCCCCATCCCCACAACCAGACAGGAGACTGGACCTCCCCATCCCACCCCACCGCAGCTGGGACGTGCCGGGTGGTCCGTCCAATGCCAAGCTGGGCTGCATCCCGTAACCATCCTCCTCATCTCCGAGCTGCCGCTTGAGCATCTTTCTCCCAAATCAAATTATTTGCCAAATTATTAATGCTAGCTGTGCAGCTGTTATCTACCAGCGACCTTTGGGGAGGGGAGAAGGGGGGGAAGCGCCTTCTCCCCGGCTGTTCGGCAGGCACCCGGCTTCCCATCTGCTGCCGCGCAGGCAGCAGGGGAGTGGGCAGCGGGTGCGGGGGAGGCTCGCTTGATGCTTTTTGGCCATTGGAGCCAGCAAAAAAAAAAGATTGAAAGATGCCAGGTAATATTAATCATGTTAAATGTCAGCGGCTGGCAGGGGGGTGGGAAGGGGGAGGCGAGGGGCCATGGGGGCCACGTCGGCACGCGCTCGCTCGGGTTGTAGCCCTCGGTCGGCAAATGCACTTTGATTTATGTAAGGAGATCAGAGCCTCATTCACTAATGCACCGGCAAATCTGGGCCCCGCTGCTCCCCCTCGGCTGCCGGCATGCGAGCGCCCACCTTAGCTGCTGAGCCGGGGCGGGCAGGACTGCGGGATGATGCCGACAGGAGGACGTCCCGGCACATCCCGGGGGTCATGATGCTGAGCTGGGTGTGCACACACAGCGGCTCCATCCCCTTCCCCGGACCCACGAATCCTCCCCGCATTGGCTCACATCATCGGGATGGCACACCCTCCGTGCCAGCGTTTTTGGGACCCTGCCACCTTTTTGGACCCAGGCAGGAGCTTGGGGGTCATTAAACTCCAGGAGGGACCACCCGAGGTAGAGGACAAGCAGGGATGCATCGGCCTTGCCCTCCTCCTCGCAAGAGGAGAGCTCACCGCTGCTCCCATCCCCCTCGAACCTTGCTTGGGGCTGTCATGATCTGGGGGTCTCCATCTCCGCTCTGCTGGAGATGGAAGGGAGGCAGTCAGCTCGCTTCCATTCCCATGTCCACACCCAAGGGTCTCCTGCCAGCAGCCAGGCCACCAGCCACGATGGCACAGCCAGGCCGGCACGGCCGCACACCGGCTGAGGAGCAAACAGGCTGTTACAGCCTTGCTGAGGTCAGGTCCATCAGGCTGTCCCCCCCCACACACCCGCTCGGCTCCCCTCTGAGGGACGATGGGGACAAGGAGGGCATCTGCACCCCGGCACAGCCCATGGGGCTGAGGCGATTCCCTCCCCCCCCTCCAAAACCGCTCCGTTTCCATTTACGGCACTAATTAAAAGCGTGGAAAAGCAGCATCTGGGCCCCCCAGCTCTGCGTGCCAAGATGCACCCGAGCATACGGACATGAGCACGTGCGGAAAGCGGGGGACACACACCCCCCCCGCCCTGAAACCGGGAGGAAAAAGCTCAGCCAGGCTGCTGCACACAAGGAAAAGATGAGCGATGCCTTGGGGGGGGTCGGAGGAGGTAAAGGAAGATGTCCCCGTGTGAACACCATGCCGGTGCTTGCCCGTCCCCATCAAAACAATGAAGGGCAAAGAGCGAGCCCACGGGGGCCCTCCCTGTGTCCCCCCCCGCCACCATGCTGCCACAACTAAGAATGAAATGACTTAATAGGTTTTTCGGCACATTGATAAATCTTGTTATGCCTTACAGCTGGGGCAGAGAGCATCCAGATTAGATCAGCGATCTTCTGCCAGCCCCCTCCCCGCAATCCCAGCTCCAGAGCCTCCAGCAGTAATCCCTGCCGGCAAACCCGCTGCCCCTTGGGAGATGCCCTGGGATGCAGCCTTCC